TTGAGGGTTTAGGGTTTAAGGTTTGCGGTTTATGATTTAAAGCTTAGGTTTAGGGTTTCGGGTGGGCTGGGGGGGGGGCTTGGTTGGAGCCCAGGTTGGGGGTGATGGGGTGAGGGCTTCTAAGGTCGAGAAGTGTGTTTTTTGCGCACTCTCATCACAGTCCTACTTCATAATATCAGTTATTTTCTGTTGTCCTTTTCTCTCTCTCTCTCTGCGTCTGAAGCCTGGCTACACCAAATCCAGTATTCGCGCTTGATGTCCCTTGATGTCCCTAGATCTGTGCCGGCATCAGTTTGGCAAGGGTCAGTATGCTGTCCACAGAAGTGTCGACGTACCGAGGAGAAGCCGAGGAGGCAGCGGCACGGCAAAAGGAAACCGCCGAGGAGACGGTACCGGAGCCGGAGGGTTCCCCTTTTTGATCTCACGCTGTCAGCGCGCAGGAGGCTCTTCGCCGTCAAGAGGCCCGGGCCGCGGTTGCCACGTGCTTGCAACTGGCGCCTCCGGCAGCATGTTCTTCTCCTGCCTTGCCAGATGGAGAACGAAGAGCGGAGGCGGCGGGCGGAGCAAAGGAGGCGACGTGGGCAGAGTCTGTTGAAAAGTTGCCTGTAGCATTGTAGCAGCTAGCGGCTAGGGATATGCAGGTGCTGTTCTTTCTGGTGCCGCCAAGCTCTGCCTTGCAGGAAAGAGATCAAGGAGAAAGCAGCAGCTCCACCGCATGTGGGGAGCCGTCGTGCGCGGCCACGGCTATGTCGCGATTGTTGACATTCTTTCAGAGCAAGCCGGGCACAGCGGCACAGCTCTCTCCGAGGAGCGCGCCAAGAAGGCGGCAGCTGCCGGGCTGCCGCCCTCTGCGGCGGCGGCACTTGCTGCAGAGGCCCATGTCCACACGTCCACACCGATGTCGACCTTTTTTTGGCCTGTCATAGCGAACAGCCTACACCGCAATCCCGAAGAAGGGGTGGTTTGTTGCTTCTCAGAGGCGGTCGCGAGGGAGGCGAAGCCACCCACTTCGCATGCCACGGTGGCCGTGCTTGGCCACCAGGGTGCCTGGGAAGCGGGTCGGTTGCGCATTCTATGTTTTGACGCTCTTCAGGTACAGCGCTAGAAGGGCCTGCTTCATGTGCCTGCAACTGGGCAACACCTGTGAGAGACCCGTGAGAGTCAGGTGCCGGGAAGTCCATGTTGGTGGGTGCCCTTCTGCTGGCCACGGGTGCGATTAGCGAGCGCGACCTGGCAAAGCGCCGAAAGGCCGGGGGCACTGAGCCATGCACAGTCACCGGTCACAGCACCAGCTCTGGTCCACACCTAGGAGGCCGAGCGGCTCAAAGATGAGTCGCAACGTGAGGACTGGGTTCGCTGCTGCCTGCATGCGTGTGCCGCTTCGTACCGTCCACGAAGGATGGCTTGCGCACGCCCAAGGGTGCCGAGCTGGCCTTGCTCGATGTGCCAGGAGGAGCCTTGTTGCAGCCTCGTGTGGAATTCACGAAGTCCCATCTCCCCATCTCGCAACAGGCCGTCGCTCTTTGCCACAGGCTGTGGCTGCATCTGCCGAGGCCAGGAAGCCGGCGTTGCAGACTCGCCAGCGCTCTGTTCCGTTTCCTGAAGGCAGACGTGGCCATGCTCGTGATTTCTGCAAAGGGCCGGGAGCTGGAGGCGGCTCTGAAGGAGGCACGGTCCGCAAAGAAGTCACAAGGATTTCATGAGCAGGGATGAAACTTCCAGGCGGGAGGTGGTCCTTCCACGCTGGTGGAGCAGCTGAGGGCTGCGCGGGGCCTTGGCGCGGCCGCAAAGGCCGGGACCGACTCGCCATGGGAGGGCCTCCCTTTCTGATCCTCTGGTGCAGGAGGGACGCCTGGTCGTCGCGGTAACCAAGATGGAAGAAGTCAGCTGGGCAGAGGAGATGGGCGTCCAGTGGCTGTGTTCCAGCACGTTTTGGCACTACAAGTCTGGTGCCATTGGGAGGATCGGTTCGACGAAGTCATCTCTACCCTGACCCCGGTGCTGACGAACGCAGGCTACACTGGATGAAACGAACCACGACCAATGTGACTATTGGGGATCTTGACTCTGTGAGCAGTTCGGACTCAGATCAACTTCTTCTGACCACGATCAAGCAAGCGCAGTGCAGGTTTCAGCCAGGCCGCGACGGTGTTCGTTCCTGTGGACGGCCTCACAAACCAAGTGGATGCCAAGAAGGCCCTTCAAGTTGGGCAATCGTATTGCTGATGACTGCATTAGGACGGCGACGGCAGGAGTGCTTGTGGTTGTGGTTGTTTGCCGTTGTCGTCGTCGTGGTCGCGATTAGGGTTGTGGTTGCGATCGTGGTTGTGGTTGTTGTTGTTGATGATGACCAATGAGGATCATGATCATGATGATGATGATGATGATGATGAGAACATGAACACGACGAACAAAAGTCTGACAAGAACAGCGGGTCCCTCTAGACCCACGGACAGGTTGGGAGCTTCCCCGTCCCGGGTGTAGAGCGCTGCTCGTCCCCTCTCCTCGCCTTCATCCTTGCAATCCAAGACTGCTGCAGTGTACAGTATATGTTGTATCCCTCACAGGTGTCGTCACGTGTCCTCTACTTTAAAGTCCCCCACCAACTTGTTCCTTTGGGAGTGTGGATTTTCGAAGAAATGGCTTGTCACTTATGCGTGGGTTGCGGTAATGGTGAAGGTGGCTGTTTGCGCCCCGGCACATTGCTTCTAGTGAGGCTCCTTGGCACACCGGCGCTTCTCTCCTCCAATGCCTCGATGACATGGCCAGCTGTGCGCCACGGAATCTGAGCAGCAATTGGACCGTGCATGTTTTTGCCGTCTCCGCTGTGTGTCCTCTGCGAGGCCCGGAGCCCTGCAGGTTCTGGTCTTCGAATCTACACCGGCAGCGAAGGGTACGATCCGTGTGCGCGGCCGCGTGGAGCAAGGCGGGGACCTCGGTGTCTCGCCTCAGGATTCCAGGATCGCCACGTCTCGCTGTGAGGCACTCTGCGACCGGGAGAGCGCTGCCTGTTGGCACCTGGCTCTGCTCCCTGCGCTGTAGAGGCTCACCACACTCACATAGTCGGTTCTGAGATGCTGAGCGTGGCAGGTTCTCCGCATGGCTGCTTCCCGCAATGTGGTACCTCTGGAGGAGGCAGCTGCACATCGAGAGCTGTGTTCTGTGGTCCGGCACACTGTGACGCACACCAGCGGAAATCTGCACCTGTGCAAAAATATTTCGACCGCGAGGCGAAGAGCGGGCAGAATGTGGAGCTGCAGCTTTCTGGCGGACCCTTCCCAGATTGGCCGGCAGTGGGAGGCAACAGCTAAGCGCATGTACTGACGTCCACCTGCACATGTGAATCCCTAGGTCTCGTTTCTTAGGGGCGGAAGGCGGAGAATTCGACGTCAGAAAGGGCGAGCAGAAGCCACAAAAACAGTGCAAGAGCTGGTGGGGTTTAAGGCTAAGGAGGGTCTCCACCACCGGCCATGGGCCATGATCCTTTTGATACTCGGAGCGTAAAGGTTACGGCCGCACCAGGAGCGCATGCCACCGAACACTATGGGCCTCCAGACTCTAAACGCATGGGGATGTTTTGAGCTTTCCCTTCGGTCCGGTCGGTTCCATGACATGCCTGGACTAGCTGGAGGTGCCTCGGCCGTAGGCTGGTGCGGCTCTGTCCTTGGCTCTGCACAGTCGCCCGTGGAGGCCAGGTTGCGGGGGGTGCAAACCTCAATAAAAATCGGAACTCGGAACGCAGCAACGACCTGCAGGTTTCGGATTCGGTGAAGGCCTACTTGGAAGTGTTGGAGCTGCCACGGCCCATGACAGCCGGCTTCAAGGCCGTCCTGCATGTCCAGACCTGAGTCAAGCTGAGCCCAGCTGCGACCCAGCTGGTGCAAAGCTGTCTGGACACAGATTGCCATGCCTCTGGATTGGCAGCGCCGATTCCAGAAACAAGAAGTGTCTTTGAGGTGCATGCTGCAACGGTGGACGCGGAGATCGACCAGATTCTGGACGGCTGATGCTTAGAAGGGCCATGCTCGGCCACCGGGCCACGGTAAAGTTAAGGGATGTGGAAAGCATGTGGTCGACAAACTGTAGTAACGCTCAGAGCAGACCTTGGCTGCCGCTCCAGTGCCTGCAGTGCAGGACGCCACAGACTGGGCGACCGGAGTGACCACGGAAAGGCCAAAGATTGTCAAGGCCCGCTGTGCGCTGTGTCATCATGGCCCAGAGCGCAAGCAATGATGCCTTGGGCTTGGGCGCATTGTTGGTGTTTGCAGCTGAAGGCCGGGCAGCGGCTGACGGTGTTGCTGAAATTCTCGCGACAGGCCCAGGGTGACGAAAAGCTTATAGTCAAGTTGCAATCCTGGAAGGGTTGGACGGAGCTTGTCCGCTGACATCTATCTTCGCAGACTTTGAAGTGTGACTGCTCGAGGTGCCTGTTTGCAGTGTCTCCGATGCCCAAAGCAGCCGCGGCTTGTACGAAAGCTTAGTAAAGCGCTCTGCGCGTGAGCTGTTCGTGGGGATCCCAGGCTTGGGCCTTCTCATGCTCCGCCTCGAGGAGACGACCGTGGCAGTAGGCCACGTTCTCGAGGCGACTTAGCGGGGCTTGGCTAGCGGCGCTTTATTTGTTCGTTCCGTTTGAGTCCCCAGCTGACGTGAGCTTCCGTGCAGGTGAGATGACCTTGCTACATTGCCTTCCACGAGTGGTGTGGCATTGCCGATGTTCTGGCGCGCAAAGTGAGACAGACACAAACGGTTGATCCGACGATATCGGTTTTGTTTATAGAATCTTATGAAAGTGTTGACCGTGTTGATGCTTTTTGCAGAGTGTGTGCCAGAGCTGCAGCCTCTGCCGGACGAGCCATGGCGACCCATACCATACACCTACTCGTACGTCTGTTTTTGCTGGGGAGCTGTTAAAGCTTCTGGAGCTTGCCGCGCTCCATGCGACCGGGTGCAAAGACTGCTCCTAGTGTTTGCAAGTCCCAAACTCCGATGAGGTTTGGCGGTAGCTTCCTCCCCATGGAAAGTCTTAGCTGATGAAGGCATCTGAGAGGCATAGCTAGGGTTTTACCTCATGTTCTTGATGTCGATCTTGATCCAGGGGAGTGTCCCGAATGTCACAGATGATTCTTTTGAGTGGCACGGGCATGTCGATTTTGAATGCACTTCGCATGCTTGCAGTAGCAGTGCAAGCAATGTCAGCAGTCGAGAGAGCAGTGCAAAATCTGCAGTCGACGAGTTTGCCTTTGGAGGTGTCCTAGAAGGACTCGTGTAGCTGTAGTGAACGTCGAAATCCACGTTGGAGAGGCTCGCTTTGCGTGGCAGTGCGAGTCCTGGCCTCCCGGTGCGCTGCCGGGTTGCCGTCCACTCCGCATGCATAACCTGTCGAAAGCGACCTACTGTGAGAATCCGGCGATACAGTGCGTCACCGTCCGCTGCTGCTTGCACTGCTACAACAAGTAGTAGTAGTAGTAGTAGTAGTAGTAGTAGTAGTAGTTGACGGAACCATCTTGGTAATCTTGGTCAGCCGAGGGGAGCAAGATTGCCAAGCAATCTTGGCAATCTTGGTCATCTTGCCCTACTGCCCCCACTTGCCCGCCGACCAGTTTACCGTTCGGAGACCAAGATTGCAAAATTGCTGGCAATCTTCCCAGCAATCCTGTTCCCCCCCTTTGCAATCTTGGTCTAAAAGGTAAACTGGTCGGCGAGACCAAGATTGCAAGATTGCTTGGCAATCTTGCTCAAATAGTTGCTGTAAATTCCCGACACTGTAGTGGTAGTGGTGGTGGTAGTAGTAGTAGTAGTAGTAGGAGTAGGAGTAGTAGTAGTAGTAGTAGTAGTAGTAGTAGTAGCAGCAGTAATGGTAGTTGTAGTAGTTGTAGTAGTTGTAGTAGTTGTAGTTGTAGTAGTAGTAGCAGTAGTAGTAGTAGTAGTAGTAGCAGCAGTAGTCACGGTAGGCGCCCGCCCCCCCCTCTACCAACCAGCTCTTCTGAACACTGTTTAAGAGCACATCCATTTTACTCGGTATTTACAGTACTTTCGCGATGTCGTAGTCCAATACCAACCACTGCTGTTGAGGGGTGGGGGGAGGGGGGCCGGTGGGAGGTGGTCTTTGTTAGAGCACGTCCATCTTACAGTACTTTCGTGATGTTGTAGTCCAATACCAACGATGATAAGGATGGGTTTGTGTGCCAGTAGTTAGCAGGAGGGGTTGGCAAGTAGGCGCCGTATTACCGGTGGTGGTAGTAGTAGTCGTCGTCGTCGTAGTCGTCGTCGTCGTCGTAGTAGTAGTAGTAGTAGTAGTAGTAGTAGCAGCATGAGTAGTAGTAGTCGTCGTCGTCGTAGTAGTAGTAGTAGTACGTAGT